TTAATTTTATTTTTCATGTTCTAGAAATGCCTTGGGCTGTTTTACCAGGTAAATCATTTTATATATTTGGGTAGCAGTGGTGCAGGGAAAAATGAAAATAGAAAGGAGCAACATGAGTTTCATGTTCCTTGCAAACTTTTCATGTTGTGAGGAGCATGAGTTAATCTAGATGAAATGTGGTTTGGGTAGGTGCTGGGTAATCCTGTCAGGAAGTGTGTGAAACTAACAGTTTCAAACCCTATTGAATACAAAGTGGTGTACTAGTCAAACTATGAATATACACTGTTGTATTCTGTTGTAGCTGATATTGCATCTGTTGCAAACAAAATGGACTTGGCAGGGTGTTGTTATACAGTGTATAAAACGTTGCATTTCAAAAATTGTATATGTAACCCATGGTGTCTGATCTTGAAGAACAACACTTTAAGATTACAGTAATAGGTTCCCAGTGCCTTAAGTTGACAAAAATGCCAGATTTCTATTAAAGCTGTATGATAGTTTTTATTCTTACACAGAAATATTGTACACAGAAAACAGTCACTGCTGAAACATTGAAAAGGAGAGACGAAAAAAAGGATTAGTCCTCTCTTTTGCTGGAACATGGTGCAAATGGAAGAACAACTGGCCAGATTTATTTTGGCTTCAGCACTTATAATATAAGGAGGCCAGACTTAATACTGCATGCAAGCAATCCACAGAAGTACACTGCACTTCGACATGCACATTGGATGTGTGTATGATTTTTCTTTCTAGATACCTAGGTATTTTTTTGTTTTCTTTTATATCTCAAGATAAGAGTGGATGGACTTACCAGAAGCCAAGCAGTATGAAAGTATGAGGGGAAAAATAACTTACTTATAAAGGAAGACATTAATCACAGTGAGAGCTAGCTGGCTAAAGCAGAAACACTAACTGCCAGTTTCAAAACATTGCATATCTGTGTTGTTGTATCCTATAGAAAAACTGGCATTGCTAATGCTATCACGTTAATAGTACTGTAGACATTTTACCACTTGTTTTGGATTAACTATACAAAAATAATTTTTTTCATTTTAGTTTCACCTCCACAGATTTTTCTTGCTAGTTTCACTTAACTGAAGTAAAAGTCCAGTCTCTCTGATACTTCTAACATTATGTAGCTCTCATTAACCCCCCTGTTTTCATATGGAAATGATTGTTAAAACTTCACATTTTCCTCCTCCCAGCTTCAGGCAGACAAGGTGATGGCTCGTGAAGAGAAGCATGTGGCCCACTGTGAGGAATTCATGAAAGAGCAACAGAACAAACGTGCAGAAGTGGATGAAGAGCACAGCAAAGCTATGGAGCGCCTCAAAGAGCAGTATTCCGAGATGGAGAAGGAACTGGCCAAATATGTTTCTTTTTAAGACCTTTTTTAATAATGCTGGATTTGTGCCAACACTCAGTTGCTTCTGACTTAAATTGAGGTTCTTTTGGGAGGCTGAAACACATAAGAAAAAAGGAGAATTTCCTCTGCAGGCTTGGTATGGGGAGAAAAGGTTTGCACACTTTCAACTCAAGTGCCTATTTATGCTTCTTTGGTTCAGGGCAGGTGGAATGCCAGTATTTCTTTCTTTGTTGGAAGGTAGAACTGAAAATTACATTGTGTGACTACATAAATTCAGGGAGTTGCAAGCTGGAACTCTCTCCCATCGGCAGAGAGTATCATATCATTTGGGAGAACAGAGACTAATGTAAGATTAACTATCCCATTGTGCAGCCACAGCCCTTTCCCAAGAGTAGGTTAATAGATTCCAGCCATAGTTAGCTGAGAATTCACTGGGAAGACTGCATATCCTGCTTGTAGATTTCAAGAAAATAAAACTGTGTTATGGAATATCTTACTTTGAAGCTTTAGCAGTGAAAGATCTCAACAGAGTTGTAAATCCAATTGTAGTCCAAGCTTTTGGGTTGTATGTTCAGCATTACGAAGTAGAGTTGTGATTTGAATGGTTTTTGCTAACGTAAAAATGACTGAGTGAGCTTGGACAATTTCTTATTTTTCCCCTTCCCTGTAAATCTCTCAGGCCTCTCTTTTTTGAGCTTTACTGTTCTAAGCAAAACCAAAACAGGCTCAAAAGTAATTGTGGGAAGCATATCGGTCTTTGTATTAGCTTTGTAGCTAGTACGGTGTTTACCTTAAATATTTCACATGCTATTGGTTTACTTAGGATAAGCTTATCAGAACTATGTGAAACAATTGAGGAAAGATTTTTGTTTTGTTATTAACATAACAAATGAGCAGATTAGTGGTAAAACACCCATAGTACCTATCTGCTTTCTTACTAACTCATATTCTTACAGGGTATGTGAAACTCCTGTATTGCTTTCTTTTATTCTAAACTTGCAGTTAACAGCAGGGTAACTGAAGAAGTTAACTTAATCAGTTCATTAACCAAGGAAAATGAGACGTAGTACCTTAATGAAATTTGCTGCAAGCTAACCGTTAGTACAGGAAATATCTTTCCATAATTTAGCTGGTGTCCAGTGTAGAATGGAAACAGGTAAAAATAAACAGAATTTACGCTTTTACCTGCATTGCAACATTAATATACCAACAATGGTTGCTTGTGTAAGTTTATGGCTTGGTGTCAAGGCTCCGTTCCTGGCAGCATGTTGATAGTGTGATTAAAGTTGGTGGAGGAGATGGAATAAGTATTTGAGATTTCTTTCAATAACACTGAATTCCTGCCAAGCTGCTCTGCCTGCTACCGTAGGCCCAACAGCTTCATCAATCATCATCGTGTATCTGGACTGAAAAGAGGACTTGCCAACACAGGGGCACACTGGAATGTTGTTAATTCTCTGTTGTGGATGGAAAAAACGTAGATGTCTCAAAAGTATCCCACACATGAAAAATAGGAAAGCCTCTTTTAGAACAACCCCTATCTGAATAGAAGGTGACTTCTGTAATATTTTTCAGCTTATGTACCCCATGATGAACCTTGTAACTAAGCTCAGACTTTTCATTTTAAAAGAAAAAGTTAGTTCTTGCCCATCCTTAGAAGTGGGTGTGGTAGAATAGTTTTGTTTGGAGTACAGTCTGAAAGTGGCTTCTCCCTTACCAGATTAATTGATGCATATGTGCTCAAAGCCCAAATATCTTTGTACAAAATGCATCTAACTGCATACTGAATTCATTTTTATTTTTGTACTGATAATTTTTATTCAGTCTGAGCACCACTTAAGCCTCACCTAGCAAAACCCCTGCAAGCTCATGACAGGCACAAATGGCTCCATCAGGCAGCTCCTGCCTCAGCAAGAGGTGCTGCCTGTTATTGCTGAGGTCCTAGAATCTACCAGCAAAATTCTCAAGGTTGAAGCAGAAAAAGATCTATGAGTACAGTTCTGTGTGGGTTCTATGGATGAGTGTACAGACCAAGACCATGGCTGTACCCCTGCAGCTATTTGCTATAAATAAAAACATTTGCTTTCCCCTTCTCGAATGTGTGTGCTCAGACTGGTAGCCTCTACCTCTTGTGGAATTAAATTCCTTGTGATTAAGTGCCAGTTGCAGGTAGTGATGTGACTTCAGCTGCTGATACTCGTTTGGGCACTGTGGAAACAGCAGTAAATGCTGCCCAGGCTCTGAGCTGCATGGCCCAGCCATGGTGGGCCCTGTGCAAGAGGCTGTGCCACAGCTCTGACTGACATGAGCTCCCATGTGGGAGCCAGGAGGAGGCACAGCAACACGGGATGCAATGCTCTTAAACAGTGTGCTCATTCCTTCCTCATAGCTGTATCAGCCAGAACCAGAGATGAGAAAAGCCCTTGCATTTCTTCTGCTTCCTTTGCTCCTTCTCAGAGAAATGGGAAAAGGGAGGAGCAGAGATCCAGGTGCTGCTGCACATGGTTTTAGTGAGCAGAAGCTGTTTAGGCTCTCCTTCCTCTTCATTTGGAGCTGGCTGCTGCTTGGGCCAGAAATCCGAAGTCTCTGGAAATCATGCACCTGTTCCTGCAGCTGAAGAAAGGGGATTGAGGGTGGTCAGGAACTTTTAGGAAGTGGTGAAATATTCATATCTGCGAGCTGTGGCAGTGCCTTTCCTCCAGTGTCAGTAATGGCTAAGGATGAGCTTGGCGCCTCAGGCTGGAAAAGGAAGGTGCCAGTCACCGAGGATGCCCTTCCTGTCCTATGCTGGGACTGGCATAGAGGGATGTACCTAAGCTGCTCACTTTTGTCACCTCCCAAAAACGTGTGGGACCCTGTGGTTCAAACTCGCCAGGTAATCATTGGAGTTGCATCTTAACTTTATCCTAGCAGGACCATCTGTAGGCATAAAGTGACCTTCTTCATCCCTGAGTCATCCCTCAACGTTTCTGATTCATTTAGGTTACCAACCACAAGTTCTGCTGTAGGTTTACCCAGCTGCACAGCAAAAGTTCCTGTATCTGGCCAAACCAACCCTCCATAAAGACTTGGATGCTGTAGGGCAGTGAAGGGGTGGGAGCTGACAGAGTTCAGTGCCAAAGTGCTTTTTCCTGATAGGAGTTTTTGGGCAGCTGTTCACTTTTACCGCTATGTAGTGAGTTGCAGATTACAAGGTTGTTGTCTTCTCCTGGTCCCACAATGTCCCTTGATCAGAACAAACATACTTGTGTTTCCACAGAGCTGTAAATTGTAGTATTCCATCAATTGGAGGGCTCATAAGCAATACTGTGAGTGTTACAAGTTGGATATTGACTGGAAAATAAAACGTTATTTCCAAAACTTTCTGGGATGTGTGCTTCTGATTCTTTGGAAAGTATCTAAATAGTAGCACTGAAAATGTGTTCCTCTTTTAGAGTGATACAGGTATTTTTATGCTGAAGATCATTTGAAAACACTTTTCTCTATACTCTGTATCTCCTTCTTGGCCTACTCTTATTCATTGTGGGCACTATCTGAAAAATATCTGTTACTGAAATATTTAATTCAGTAGCTTTCACTTCTTTATATGATCCACTGTAGGTTTTGAGGTACTTGGCAATGCTTAACTGTCTTTGAAGCAACTTGGCAACATTTACAGGAAAATACGTGTTTTCCATCCAAATGCTTAAAAAAAACCCCAGCCAACCCTGATGTGTCTAATACTATCTCAAAACAGAACACATCTAACTGATAAGAAAAGATTCCTATCTTCCAGCAGTATTTCACCAAGGTGAGACTATGGTCTGTCTGGACATGATAGTTCTCCAAAGTGTGACTTTCTTTGCAAGATACAGTTTCTTGGTTTTCATAGTCTCTGCCATTTGGGAGAAATAGAAAAATGAATAGTTTAAAAGTTGGGTTTATGTCATTGGTACATGAAGGAAGTGTTTTACCTTATATTGCAATTTTACATGACTGAATTTCATAGTTTTAAGAATCTTGGGGATTTATTTAATCCCCGTTAAACTTGATAGAAGTTTGCATTGGATTCCAGTAGGAGCTGGAAAGGGTCCTCAAGATTTAAGTTCATTTCTAGTATGACAAGTGAGTTTTGCAATCTGTCCTTGTACCAAACTATGTAGCTAACCTTTTGCTCAACTATTAGCACTGTTTATTATGCTGAACTGCAAGTTTAACTGGTCTTCATAACTGAAGGTGGATTTGGGTGTTGTGTAACCACTGGAATATTTCCTTAGTCTTTCTTTTCTAATGAATACATAGTGGGAAGCTGGTAACTTCCTTGGAACTGCTGTATGAAATCTGCTGCTGCTGTATTTAGGTGTAATAACAAATCGAGGATCTGAAGAGATACTTAGGCGTTTGGGGTTTTATAACCACCTTAACAATGGACCTATGTGCTGTTCTCCTGGGAATGTTTTATATCTAAGGCCTATCACAATATTCTATTCTTAGGAATGAGGGAAGATGCTGATTTATTTGCTCTTCCTCAGTTTCTTTCTATGGTGACCCTAGGCAATACCTTTAATAGCAAAAAAAGTACATAATTACAGCCGGAACATTACATTTTCTCTAGTAATTTATGGCTTGTTAAATCTTTATTCAAAACCTGTGGATTTTTTTTCAGTAGTCAAATTAAATAGAAAATACATGGCATAATCAACCAGTGAATTGAATCATATATAGTTGACTGCTGAGTTGAAAAGCTTAACATGTCTCAAGGGTGTGGATTTTGAGGCTGACAGATGTTCCCCAGCAGGCGTCAGTGCAGGCTGGAGAAGGAACGTGGGGAAGCCTGGTTTTATATGAGGTATGAAACGTAAATGCTGCTTTTCAGTTGTAACATGGTGTTTTGTGTAAGTGAAAGACATTTTGTGGATAGAGCCACGTGCTTTTAAATAAAAAGTGACACTACTTATCAACAACATTTTGCTCCGTTAGTCCTCAAAAAAGCTTAGAACAGGTTACTCTAAAAATTATTTATATAATGTGTGCTGACCT